TTGGAGGCAGTGGAGATGTCCTGTCTAAGGAAAATGTGTGGTGTAAATATTATGCAGAAAATTCGGAGTGTGGAAATTAGGAGAAGGAGTGGAGTTAATAAAAGTATTAGTCAGAGGGCTGAAGAGAGGTTGTTGAGGTGGTTTGGTCATTTAGTGAGAATGGATCCAAGTAGAATGACATGGAAAGTGTACAAATCTGTAGGGGAAGGAAGGTGGGGTAGGGGTCATCCTCGAAAAGGCTGGAGGGAGGGGATAAAGGAGGTTTTGTGGGTGAGGGGCTTGGACTTCCAGCAAGTGAATGGAGACAAATGGTTTTTGGGACCTGACAAGCTGTTGGAGTGTGAGCAGGGTAATATTTAGTGAAGGGATTCAGGGAAACTGGTTATTTTTATTTAGCCGGCAATGCACTTTAAAGGAGGGTTTTGGGATATTGGCAGTTTGGAGGGATATGTTATATATCTTTATTTTTTTTTTCTCAACAAACAGGCCGTATCCCACCAAGGCAGGGTGGCCCAAAAAGAAGAACAAAAGTTTCTCTTTTCAAATTTAGTAATTTATACAGGAGAAGGGGTTACTAGCCCCTTGCTCCCGGCATTTTAGTCGCCTTTTACAACACGCATGGCTTACAAAGGAAGAATTCTGTTCCACTTCCCCATGGAGATAAGAGGAAATAAACAAGAACAAGAACTAGAAAGAAAATAGCAGAAAACCAAGAGGGATGTGTATATATATGCTTGTACATGTATGTGTAGTGTGACCTAAGTGTAAATAGAAGTAGCAAGACGTACCTGAAATCTTGCATGTTTATGAGACAGAAAAAAGGACACCAGCAATCCTACCATCATGTAAAACAATTACAGGCTTTCGTTTTTTACTCACTTGGCAGGATGGTAGTACCTCCCTGGGCTGTTGCTGTCTACCAACCTACTACCTAGGATATATCTTTATATATGCTTCTAAACTGTTGTATCTGGGCACCTCTGCAAAAACAGTGATTATGTATGAGTGAGGTGAAAGTGTTGAATGATGATGAAAGTATTTTCTTTTTGGGGAATTTCTTTCTTTTTGGGGAATTTCTTTCTTTTTGGGGAATTTCTTTCTTTTTGGGTCACCCTATCCTCGGTGGGAGACAGCCGACTTGTTGAAAAAAAAAAAAGAAAACATGTATATGTAGTGTGACCTAAATGTAAGTAGAAGTAGCAAGACGTACCTGAAATCTTGCATGTTTATGAGACAAAAAAGACACCAGCAATCCTACCATCATGTAAAATAATTACAGGTTTCCGTTTTACACTTGCGAGGCAGGACGGTAGTACCTCCCTGGGTGGTTGCTGTCTACCAACCTACTGCCTAGGAATAGTGAAGTTATGAGATATAAATTATTTCAGTTATCTTTAGCTTTCTATAAAGCAGTTACATCAAGCATGAATTATTAGGCTAAATATTTTTATGTATCAGAGTATTCCCTCTGGCCTGCTGGCAAAAGCTCTCGCTTCACACGGCAAGGGTCCAGGTTTCATTCCCAGCGAAGAAGTGTAAACATTGGACTTGTTTCCTTTCACCGGTTGTCTATGTTCACTCATCGGTAAAATGGGTACCTGGGTGTTAGTCGACTGGTGTGGGTCACATCCTGGAACAAAACTGAACTAATTTGCCTGAAATGCTCAGCATAACAAGCAGCTTTATATATAGTGGTATGTTGTTGATGTCATCTAGGCCTGTATAACTTGTACATGTACGTACTTGTAGTATGTACAAGAAAGGCATACAGTACTGACAAGATGAAATTGAGACACATGTGCAACATCTGGGCATCTTTATTGTAGACGTTTCGCCATCCAGTGGCTTTATCAATACAAATTCCAGGACATAACTTGAAGACAGGAGAACTCTGTACAGAAGATGAGGTAATCAGTCCCTCAGCCTAGCAGTAGGTGCGAAGAGCACCATAGTCGTGGTGCTCTGTACCTCCCGTTCCTTTAAGACTTTCCTAAAATGGGCCATAACATTGTCATTGTACAGGTTGCCAACACGACTTGCAGTAGCTGCGTCAGGGTGATTTTCATCCATAAAGGTTTGCAGTTCAACCCACTTTGCACACATTTCCTTAATCTCTTTTTTCAATTCCATACTAATTCTCGCCCTTTTTACCACAGGGATGGCACTAGAAGCTTTCTTGGGGTCCATGGTGACTTATTTTGCAGTTACTAGCACTAAAAACACTGAGATAATGTGAAATGTGCCGAATGTATGTGTAGATGCAATTGCACTGGCTGGCTTGTAAACACTGGTGCTGAAGCCACACGTGGGACGTGTCCCGGACGAGTCATGTAAGGCGAGTTTTTTATCATGAGGCGAGTCAAAAATTTTGCATTCAAATGCTTCATATGGCAGATTTAATGTAACACGATGCGTTCGTAAGGCAGGGGTCCACTGTATGTGGTGGTGGTTGTGATGAGAGCTGGCACAATGAAGGTGAAAGCTGCTTGGAGGTAATGTAATCCTAGTACAGTGGACCCTCGGTTTTTGTGTTTAATCCGTTCCTGAGCCATCGGCCAAAACCAAAACCATTTTCTCCATAAGAAATAATATAAATGGAATTAATCCATTCCAGACATCCAGAAGTATCAACATAAAAATTTTTTTACTTTAAAGATAGTTACATGCACAAAAGAATGAACATTAAACATGACACTTACCTTTATTGAAGGCTGTTGTTGCTGGGAGGAAGACAGGGAGGAGGGGAGAGGGAAGATAGGTTATTGTTTGGAAGGGGAATCCCCCTCCATAAGGACTCTAGGTACCAAGTCCTTATCTGGGGTCATTTCCCTCCTTTGTTTTTTACTGCCACTAGGACTAGCTTGAGAGTCACTGGATCCCTGTCGCACAAAATATTTGTCCAGATAGGTCTGTTTCTGGCATCTCTTTAAGATTTGCCTAAAATGGGACATGGCATTGTCATTGTAAAAGTCACCAGCACGGATTGCAACAGGTTTCTCAGGGTGATGTTCCTCCGCAAATGAATGCACTTTAGTCCACATTACATAAATCTCTTTAATCTATGAAGAAGGTACCTTCTTTCCTCTCTCTTCCTCCTCCTCTGAAACAATTTCCTCAGCTGTGGACAGTTGCTGTTGCAGATGAAGCTCTTGCAGCTCATCAGTGGTTAGCTCTTCATTGTGGTCCTCCACCAACTCTTCCACATCCTCCAAACTCACATCCAACCCTATGGAATTCCCCAATGCCACAGTTGATTGCACAACAGGTGTAGGGCCGACAGGGTCAGCCTCAAACCCTTCAAAATCCTTCTTTTGGACACACACTGGCCAGAATTTTCTCCAAGCAGAATTCATTGTCCTGGAAGTCACTCCCTGCCAAGCCTTATCTATAAGGCCTGTGCAGTGGAAGATATTGAAGTGATTCTTCCAGAACTCTCTTAGGGTCAATTCAAAGTTCGAGGTTATCTCAAAGCGCCTTTGAAACATTGCTTTGGTGTACAGTTTTTTTAAGTTTGCAATGATCTGCTGGTCCATGGGGTGAAGGAGAGGAGTGGTATTAGGAGGCAAAAAACTTCACTGTTACAAAACTGAATTCCTTAGAAATTGGTCTTCCAAGTCTGGAGGATGAGCAGGAGCATTGTCCATTAACGGGAGGCACTGGAGTGGCAATTTGTTATCCAGGAGGTATTTTTTCACACTGGGGCAAAACACTTTATTAAACCATTCCAGGAAAATTTCCCTTGTGACCCATGCCCTACTGTTTGCCTTCCACATCACACAATTTACTTTTGACAACACTGTTTTTCTTGAACACTCTGGGATTTTCAGAGTGATACACCAGTAAAGGCTTCACTTTGAAATCCCCACTAGCATTACCACACAACAAGACAGTTAGCCTGTCTTTCTTAGGCTTGTGTCCTGGAAGTACCTTTTCCTCCTGCATAATGTAGGTCCTCTTTGGCATTTTCTTCCAAAACAGGCCTGTTTCATCACAGTAGAACACTTGTTGGGGTTTGAATTTTTCAGCCTCTACATAACATTTGAATTCCCGCACAAATTTTTAATCCGCTTGTTTGTCTGAACTGGCACCCTCGCCGTGCCTTACAACACTGTGTATGCCACCTCGCTTCTTGAATTTTTCTAACCAGCCTTTGCTGGTCTTAAATTCACCTACATCAGCACTTGTTTCAGGCAGTTTCATTAAGAGGTCGCCATGTAACGGTCTTGCCTTTTCACAAATAATTGACTGCACAACACTATCTCCTGCTAACTCTTTCTCTCTGATCCACACCAACAACAATCTCTCCACTTCTTCAATTGTTTGGGATCTCTGTTTGGTTATCGCATTCAACCCTTTCGCAGCATCAGCTTCTATGATTTCTTTTCTTTTTTGTCACAGTGGAGCTGATTGTTGACGGTGACTTCCTGTACATCCTGCGGAATTCAGCAATGTGTATGTCATTTTCATTTTTGCTTAGGATTTCTTTTTTCATTTCTATGGTGTTCCTCACTTTCTTTGCCAAGGGACTGGCACTAGGGGCTTTCTTTGTGGCCATATTGGCTTATTTAGCAGTCACACACAAAAAACAAGTGGCAAAAACAATGGATTATTACGAAATGTTTCGTATGACCAGGCAGGATATGTTCACTCACCGAGAAACAACACTACACTGGCTGAGAATGGTGTGGGAGGCGGTTTTGTCTGCATGCTCAGCACTGGACAGGTTCCATATGCTCGATGAAAACGGAGCCAAAAATCGGCAAAAAAACTTGGCCAAAACTGAAATCAGTGATAACAGAGATCGTCGAAATCGGAGGGTCCACTGTATCTCATAATCAGTAATGATATTGGGATATAACTTGGCATTCATGAGCTCCATTCTGTGGAAAGTTCAAGACCTGCCTGTGTTCTGTCATAATATCTGAAATTTTGATCACTAAGTAATAGTGCAGAAAGCTTAGTTATTGTTCCTCATCCAGACTTGGTTTGAATTTTTGCAGCTTCTCCCTGGCATCCCTCTTCCATCGCCTAATCAGCTCAAGCGCAAGATTCTAATTAAAAACAAGCGCCTAAAGCCTGAGGTGGAAAAACAGGAGCTAGAATTATTCCTGAAGGGTCAGTTAGATCTTGTGGATGATGACGATGCTAAGGAAGATGCATCACAGGCTAACCCACAGCCAAAGGACCCTAAGGTAAGACAAGCAACACTGAATGTCTTGTCTTTTCATAAGAAATTTAGAAATGCTTTGTTTTCTTTTTCTTGTAACAATATTACAGGTGTTTCAACTAAATATAAGTAAACATGTCAGAATCACTGATAAAAATGTTAAGCTGGCAGAAGATTTATTAATTAGAGCAAAGAAAAAGTAGAAATTTAATGAGAGCCGTAGGTACATGCAGGGAACTAATTATTAAGGTTGAGAGCATGAGTGAAGGTAGGGATCTTAGTGGTAGTGTGTGTTGATATACAGGAAGGTCCTGCTTTACTGCATTAGCCTGGAACCTAACATGCCGTATAAGCGCAGTCTTCCTGTACTTGTATTTAATCAGAAGATACATTACAATTCTGAATTTGTACATTCTTTTCAGGGAAGATGTTAATGAACTGTATTTGTGTTACTGTCTTTCATTATATTGTTTTTATATTTTATGAACAAATGCTTTCTTGTCACCATTTCATCAGAGTGCAATTTCAGTATAAAAATGCCATGTAATCCATAATAGTAGCAATTATCTTGACCTTATTAGTGTCAGGCACTGTAAGAGCAACATTGTGGCTTATTTGTTTGAAATTAAGTAATTCGACTTTTTAATACTGTATCACCTTACAAATACTCTTTTACTTTGAAGAATTCATTACTTTAAATATTATTAACTAAATATAATTCATAATTTGTTGTTGCCTGTAAAGATGTAAATGATCTTTCAATTTGGTTTTAATTTTTTAAAGGAACTTTTCTATTCTTTCTTGGTCTAAATCTAACTCATGAACAAGCTAATCTAGCTAAATCTGCAGCTTTCCTTTTATTCCTCAGTTTCCTTTTAAATTCTTATCCATACTCTAATCCCCACATTTATTTCTAAAGTGTCTCCACCCTTACTTTAAATCCTAGGATATGCTGTTACCTAACATGAATGAATAAGTGTTTTGAGCTTTGCTAAACACAAGTATCTTTGAGGTTGATCTCAGCATTATTCATTATAGTTTTTTCATAACTGCTTGGATACATAAATTCTATGGTAACCCGTGCCATACAAATACACTACTAATTTAAATTAATTCCTTAGTACTAATTTAGTTTTTGTTCATCCACATAATTTCAATCTTATTTTAACATAATAAATATCCTTGTCAGGATTAGATCCAATATATATCCACACCTGAGATAGGCACAAATTGTATAAACAGCTCTCTGGTGGTCAAGCAAAAATTTGTAAGAATCTTAGTCATATTGCACTCCTCAGCCAGTAGGTGTAGCCAGTGTCCTTCAACCTTCAACCTCCTTCCCTTTCTAGTGCTTGTATGATCCCCTGTTTATTTGTGGGCAGTTATTTCTAATCTTATTGTACAGCATGATATTTGATACTACTTTTTTATATTTATAATAAAATTTCTTGATTAAATTGGTATATTTGTTGCCTGTAAATGTATCAAATTCCAACTACCTGATGCTGTGAAGGCACCCTTTACCCTTTACCAAGGCTAGAGAGACAAAAGCCATGCCAGCACCAAGTTCTTCACCCTTATCCCTAGCTCGTCTCGCCTCAGCTCTCCAGCCTCTGTCTCCTTCTCTGTCCCTTGTAGAGTAACTCGTGCACTACCATCACCACCCCTGTGTCGCAGCCCTCGCTAGAAGATGATAAGCCCCTGACGGCCGAGGAGCGAGCCTTCCTCTACTACCAGTACACGGGCGCCACCACCCACGTCCACCCTGTCCTCTCTTCCTACGTCAACTACTGCCAGCCAGTCAAGTTTCAGGGGTTTGATGTGGCAGAAGGTAACCTTGCTTTCTACTGTGGTGCTTTCTTGCATGAGTTTTTTTGTTGTGCTTTCCATTTTGAAGAGCTATATTCTTCAGAAAGAATAAAGTCTAGAGACTGCAATTAACCCACTTGAAATCTTTGTTGCACATCACTCTTTTTTGCACCCTTTCTGCATTTCATGTATAACTTTTTCTTGTTACCAGTATGTTTCGTTGAGTTAGATTTTAGATATACACTGTTTTAGTTGTCACTGTTTACTCATTTCATTGTTCTGTACAGAGTTATACACTTTGCCTATACTGTACATTATTATCCAATTTCATTCTTGAATTATGTAGACAGTTGGCAGTGTTTTAAGTTCCATAGCTTCAGTAAAGATCCTGTACACTAAATACTATATTTATCTGGTTCTAAAGGCTCTGAATCAGTGGTCTTGTGGTGGGAAATACTTCCTTGGCTTGTGCAGAGTTCCCTCTTTTCTTTAGATAAGTTTCATCATGGGACTCTTGACCTGTTACAGCCTTGGTGTACATGTCTTATAAGTACACTGTTTATAGGTTTATTACTTTGGGAATGGAAGAACCTCCTGTTTGTCCAGCACTGTAGTTCATTGGACTTGAAATGTTTGCATTTTGTATACAGGTCTCCCTCCACATTTGCGAGTTCCACTTTCGCGGGCTTCAAACATTTGCGACTGCCCAGCCACCCAATCATATTTAAAATATATCGTTACATATGTTAGGAATTGTGGCGGTGGCAGAGTTTGTTTGGAGATAGGACAAGATAGTCCTTCAATATGACACTAATATCAACTCTATGGCTAATTTATCTATCACAATTCATCTAATATGATATAATAAGCAATATTAATAACATAGAAACATGACATATACTCTAGAATGAATAAAATGTCATTAAGTATATCATGAGTGTAACTGTGTTGTTGTTGTTGGGTGTATAAGAGCCACTGAGAGCATAAGCCAGTGGTATTCATTGCGCGGCTCGCGATGATTCAATTCACGGCTCTCGAAAAATATATAAATTAATTAATAAAAAAAATATATAGAAAAATAATTTTCAAGTAAGATACATATTTTCATGAGGTGAGATGGAAGACGAAGTCACAGTAAGAAATAACATTCTAACATCCCTACCCTAGTCGTACAGAAATCATACGTGTCCACTACGGGAAACTGATCAGGGACACGTCTAGCTCTAGGCGTCGGTGGTCTCACTGAATCAGTTGAGTTCCAGCTTTTGGGGGAGACTGGACATATTTCGTTACTCTTGGAGATTTGTGTTTGAAAATAGGCAACAGATATTTGAGACTGCGGCAACACATATGAAAGTAATGACTTAACTGTTGCTGCTTGTGGAAGCTAGCTGCGATGGGCTAGTTTTACTTGAAACCAAAGTGCAGTCAAGTAGTGTCCGTTATGATGGATCAATTTGTGGTTAAACATGACAAGAGTTAAGCAGCAGCTAGCACACTTCCGCGCATCGCAGCATTGAGTAAGTTTGGTCTTTATTTTGCTATTAATAACAAGATATGCAGACTAATATTACCATGTCTAATTTTTCTCATTTACTATATTGCACTAGCAGCTCAGTACTACTTAATTTAGTTGAGTTACGCTAACTTGCAGTAGCTGCGGCTCTCTCAGTCAATGTGTTTAACCGAAGTGGCTCTCTTGCAAAAATTAGTGAATATCACTGGCATAAGCCTTACATAGTGGTGGTGAAAGTGGCAGCAGAGGCGGTGGTGTTGTCAATCGCCCTATATAACTCCAACAATATTGGAGGAGTTAGGTTCATGCTGTCCTTTTTTTATCAATTAATCGCTTAACTTACTTTCTACACTGTTATTGTTACACTATCGCTGGCTGGCGCTATAGCCTTTATCAACTCGTGCTGTTTTAATATCGTACATATCGTAGAATTACTGAAGAAGGCACATTCTCCTCTCTTCCTCCTCCACTTTGGTACTCTGCTACGAGTTCTTTCTTGAATTCTATAGGCTTTCTCACCTTCTTTACCAAAGGGCTGGCACTAGTACAATATTTTACAATGTTTTCATGTGTTTTATGATTAATCATGGTTCAGTAGGTTAAGGAAACAGTATTGTTAGGCTAAGTAAATGTTGTTATATTTCCCCACAATATATTTGTCCACCAAACATTCGCGATTTTTCAACATTAGCAAGATTCTTGATCCCCTAACCCTCGCGAATGTGGAGGGAGACCTGTAATGTTAAACCTCTTTCTATAAGTGGTATGCATCTTTCAGTAAGTGGTATGCAGACCTCAGTTTTTTCTGTTGGTGGGCAGGCTGACTTACTTTTGGGATGATTTTTATTATCTGTTGGATTTTTTTTTTTTTTGTGGTATGATTATTTTCTGGAAGTGTTGTCTCCATGCTTTGATGCGGTAGTCAAGGTGCGAGTATACAGTAGTCCCAAGTTTGCGAGAGTTACGTTCCAAGACCACCCATGAATTTGGAAAAACTGCGAATTCTGGACACGGTTAAAAAAAATGCCTATAAATGCCTATTTTTATTGTTTAAACCCTAAATCTGCCCCCAAAACACTTTAATTTCAAACTCAGCTTCATACATCACCCTTAAAGAAAAAAAGAATGTAAAGATAAACCCGTATACAGTACTGTACTGCTATGTCTCTGGCAGTGCTAGAATGTAAAATACTGATGTTACCCTCCATATGTACTGTAATTCATGCAACCCCGTTTTCTTTGGCATACGTATGGTAAAATACGGTAATAATTTAATTAAGTAAAAGTAAAGTTAATTGTATGGGTACTCACCAATGTATAGAAATTTTGCTGAATTTACATTAATATTTAGGTTACAAAATTATTAAATTATATTTTTCTTAATACAGTGGAACCTCGGTTTTCTTGTGCCCTGTTTTCGTCTAAATTTTCTCCCAGTTTACGTACATCCACTCAGTTTTTGTAGAGTTGATAATGGTTCGTACCAAATGTGTCTGCCTACCTGTGCCCACATAAAGCATCCCATGTGTTCTGACTCAGTCTGGCATTGTTTCTTGTTGAGTGAACATTACCCCACATGTTCGGATAACATTTCATAATAATCCATTGTTTTTTGTGCTTGTTTATTGAGTGCAACTGCTAAATAAGCCACCATGGAGCCAAAGAAAGTTCTGAGTGCCAGCCCTTTGATAAAGAAAGCAAGAAACACAGTAGAATTCAGGAAAGAACTCATAGCAAAGTACTAAAGTGGATGTGGAAGTGGAAGTACTAAAGTGGATGTGGAATGCTGCAAGACCTTTAACTGGAACAGCAACAGACCATAGCTGAGGAAATTGCTTCAGAGGAGGAGGAAGAGAGAGGGAAAAATGTGCTTTCTTCAGTGATTAAGGACATGCGTGCAAAGTGGAATGAGTTGCAAAGTTTTATGGAGAAATATCACCCTAACAAAGCTTGCAAGCCATGTCTGCAACATGTTCAATGACAAAGCCTTGTCCCATTTTAGGCAAATCTTAGAGACACCAGAAACAGACCTCTCTAGACAGATTTTTTGTGCAACAGGGGTACAGTGACTCTCAAGCTGATCTTAGTGCCAGTAAAAGACAAAGAAGGGAAGTGACCCCAAATAGGGCCTTGATACCAGAAGTCCTTATGGAGGGGGATTCCCCTTCCAAACAATAACCTCTCCTCCTCCCTCTCCCATCCTCGCAGTCTTCCATACACCAGCAAGAGTCTTCAATAAAGGTAAAAGTGATGTTAAATCTTCATTTATCCATTTCATTAGTCATTTGTATTTATTTCTCATTGTTTTCTGTATGTAAAACTATGGTTATTCTCTATAAAATGTACTTTTTTGTTAATACATATTTTTGGGTGTCTGGAATGGATTAATTGGATTTACATTATTTCTTATGGGAAATATTGCTTCAGTTTTCATACAGTTCGGTTTTCATCAGACTTTCTGGAACAAATTAATCATGAAAACCGAGGTTCCACTGTATTTAGTGTTAAAATGTGTAAAAAATTATACATTGCCACGAAAAAAGCTCCCCAAAATTCCGCGAATTTGCTGGGACTTCCTTAAACAATTGTTGGTTAGGTTTTAAGAAAAAATCCATGAATTACTCAAGCCGTGAATTCAGAACTGCAAATTTGCAGGAGTCCACTGTACCTCGAATTTGCAGACCTGAAAGATACTTTTTTGTCATTGTATTCAGTGTTAAGAGAATTAAGATTTTGTTCAGATTTTTAACTTGGAGGGTTAACCATCCAGGATAACCCAAGAAAGTCGGTGCATCATTGAGGAGTGTTTGTCTTATTTCCATTGGGGTCCTTTAATCTTATCCCCTAGGATGTGACCCACACCAGTTGACTAAGACCCAGGTACCTACTTACTGCTGGGTGAACAGGGACAGCAAGTGTAAGGAAACATGCTCAGAGTTTCCACCCATGCTAGGGATTGAACCACGGACACTCAGTGTGCAGGGCGAGTGTGCTGCCAACCGACCCATGAGACACTTGACTTTTCATTGACTTGGTGGACTTTTATGCCAGAGCCCTTTCTTTTTGCATTGTTAGCAAGGCAATTTTCTCAGTATGGTACCTGCGATGTGCAGTGTTGTACCCCACATACAAGTCTTTCATTTCTCTTGTGAATTACATTCACCCATCCGTTTACCATTTATGAAGCTTATGTAGGTCATTTCATTTTTTCCTACATCATTTTATCTCAACAAATTTGATGGTGTGGTTCAAGATGTTTTCCTCATTATTATTAATTTACTGTATCCCAACCAGGATTGGTCCCAGAATGGATACTTTAGCAATTGACTCCTTTCATTATTTCCATTTGAATTCTTCATTCATGATGACTGTATTTCCTGTGTGTTGTGCTTCAGTGAGAGAAATTTGTTTTGATAAGAGGTAAGGTTTGTAGGCTTCTCTCTGGGGTGAAGCCCTACTAGGAAGAAGGGAGGGGATGCCTTCATGTCAGTGAAAGGCTCTTGTGT